TCAACCTTCGCTGGATTGTTCTCACTTGTTGTATTCAATAAAGAGTTGTTGTTACCATTAAGCCTGTGTGTGCCTATCCATTACCCAATCTAACACTGGCGACACAAAATGGCTATGCACGCCCCACCGACTCCGTATGACCCAGTCACCGAGCACTGGGAATCGTACATGCTACGATTTGACTGCTTTCTTGAGGCAAACAACCTCATGGGCATTCCTGAAGGCCGCAAGAAGAACATATTCCTCGGATACTGTGGCCGGGAAGTGTTTGAGATGGCGAAAAACCTTTCTCAGCCAACACCGCTTCAAGCAGTCGCCTGGTCCGTGCTGCAGCAGATGCTAAGGACCCACTATATGCCCAAGCCGTCTAAGCACGTTTGCCGGCATGAGTTTAACATCAGAAACCAGAAGTAGGGCGAGTTGATTAATGAGTACGTGGCGGTGCTTCGCAAGGCCACAGCGTACTGCGAATTCTGAGACCTGGAAGAGCTGATTCTGGACTGCATAATTTGCGGCATGCAGGACATTACCCTGCAGAGGAGGTTACTTGCTAAATCTAACCTCACTCTGCAGATCACTTTGGATGAGGCCAGGGTGTCCGAATCAGCTGCCAAATCTACCGAGACTCTGTAACGCCAAAGCGTACCACAAGACGCACGAAATAGTACACATTACATCGCGGGACTGCAGAGTCTGAGAGCTCAGAAGGCGAGGAAGATGACAGCTGCCGCATGCGTAGCAGCTGCGCCCAGCTGGCGCGCAAATTCAAATCTCATCTCCCACCTTGCGCTAGCTGCAGAGACCATGCCACATCAGCTTGCCATTTCCGCGACACAACCTGCCAGCGCTGCGAGCGATAGGGGCACATTGCCAAGGTGTGCCGGAATGACATTCCCTGCCACCACCTAGCAGCCTAGAAGTGCACCAATCTGCCAACAGAGGCCTAACCCAGGGGCCTGGCAGAAGCCACCACAGTGCTCAGAGGGCAACAATAGAGTCACCTACCATACGTCAATCGGCCAAGTCCGCACCAGGCAGCCAAAAAAGCTGAAGGTCACAGTCCTCATCGAGGACTTTCCATATGAGATGGAGATTGACACTGAGTCATCGCTGACCATCATGCCATGGTCTACCCTTAAGCAGGCTATCCCTAGCCTACAGAAGCAGCATCTATGCATCCCTGACATCTGCCTACGGGATTAGTAGGGAAACCGGGTCCCCATTGTGGGCCAAGTCACCTTCTAGGTAAAATTCAAGCTGTTCAGTGGGAAACTCCCAGTGACAGTGGTCAGTGGCCACCTGCAGAGCCTCCTAGGGCTAGATTGGTCCCAAGCCCTGGGCCTAGAAGTGACCGGTATCAATGCCTTGAAAGACAACGGCGCTGAGGCCATCTTTAAGGAGTTCGAGGACGTCTTCAGCACCAGTCTGGGTAGTATGTGTGGACTCCAATTTCCTTTAGTTTGGACCCCAAAATAGCCCCAATTAGGCTAAAACCCAGGAGAGTGCCTTTTGCTCTCC